TCTTCTTTATAGAAGGGAGAATACTCCAAGTCTGATAAACTCGGAGCGGAACTCTTCTTTATAGAAGGGAGAATACTCCAAGTCTGATAAACTCTGAGTGGAACTCTTCTTTATAGAAGGGAGAATACTCCAAGTCTGATAAACTCGGAGCGGAACTCTTCTTTATAGAAGGGAGAATACTCCAAGTCTGATAAACTCCGAGCAGAACTCTTCTCTATAGAAGGGACAATACTCCAAGTCTGATAAACTCCGAGCGGAACTCTTCTTTATAGAAGGGAGAATACTCCAAGTCTGATAAACTCGGAGCGGAACTCTTTGTTATGTTTATGTCTGATGCTGTGGTACCCTTAACTTTGACATGTTTTGTCACAATGCCTGACTGTCAATAAATAATTTATATGCTAATTTTGTATTTTACAGATGGAGATTTACCTTCTACTTCTCCGTGTTTGTGTATGGTGTGGTGGTCCTATGGGATGTAAGTAATAGCCAATCATCAGACATAGCCTCACCTTGTTATTAGTGTGTATACTGTAGGTAGGGGTCGGATCACATGTTATGTGTGTGAAGGTCATGCTTTTTATACCATCAGTATCAATCTCTATTTGTAGACAATTTTTAGAGTTAAAGGGTTTACTATTATAGAATTTAACATGCTCTATAGGATATGTTCATATCCAATTGCGTTTGTAATGCCCTATATGCTGTAAAATGAACCCTTAATTTATATATTATAACCTGTCAACAGTAAATTGGCTACTTTTGAAAATCAACCAGCTGTTTAAATAGCCTAAGTAAAACACTGAAAATACATTGGAGTATTGTATCTTTATATTGGACACTAACATCATACTTATGGTATATATATATACTATAAACTTGTATATTTTAGTTCCATCTGAATTTAGCCTATGGGATAATATTTTCTACCCAGAGTTGATTTTGCCGTCCCATTCAGTTCCCTTCTTTAAGGAAACCTAGGATAGTCATTTCTGGTTGAGTGACAAAAAGATGAAAAATGAAATGGTGGCCAACATTTCTTGTTTTAATGTATTTTCTCATGTACATTTCAGAAACCATGGTTTGTAGATTCTACACATTGCTGGGTTGGCTACCCTCATCATGTAAGTAATCTGGACGAATAAGTGTACAAACAGTAAGAATATTAAAGAAAAAATTATTGAAATTTGCAGGCCGGTCCAGCTTTAACCATGAGAAAGTTCCTTTTTGTTAATATTTACAAATAAGTCAGGTTTTTACCCTGAAACAGTTCATTAACATGACATTTAAATCTGTAGAAGTGATCGTTATGTAATTAAATGCCTGACCTACTTACAGTATTGATGTAGATTTTTTGTCGTTGCAGCACATCCCACCAGCCATATTTTGGTACTACATGATAGAAATAGGATTCTACTCCTCTTTGATGTTTTCACAGTTTATAGACGTCAGACGAAAAGTAAGTTTTTGCTGTTGTATTTTGCCCTATTCAAAATTTGGAAAACATTAGACAATCAATGGTCTTTGGGTTTTTTCTTTATATTGGTTATTTCTTAAATAACAATGAATAGACTGGCTTCAAACTGACAAACCTGAGTACAGTGTTCTCTCAATCAAATGAAATATTTTATTAGTGAAAGTGAAACTTCATGCAGTATAAGTTAGCTTAATATTCCTGACAAGATTTCAAAGAATGGTTTTTAATGATCTTTCTTAACATTCATGCGAAAGAAATTGCAGTTTTGCACAAACTTTGTTACAATATGTGTATATGATGTGTTCTAGCTTTAATTTCTGTATAATGAATCATGATCATAACCTAGTGTCTGAGCATCTTATGCACAATGTTGTGTATTGTAATTACCGCATTTTCTTACTTCATAATAATATCATATCAACTCAGCAATACACTGATCTACTCTATGTTTTTATGAATAGTTTATCAAGATATCGTATCAACTCGGCAATACACAGTTCTACTCTATGTTTTTATGAATAGTTTATCAAGATATCGTATCAACTCGGCAATACACAGATTTACTCTATGTTTTTATGAATAGTTTATCAAGATATCGTATCAACTCGGCAATACACAGATTTACTCTATGTTTTTATGAATAGTTTATCAAGATATCGTATCAACTCGGCAATACACAGATTTACTCTATGTTTTTATGAATAGTTTATCAAGATATCGTATCAACTCGGCAATACACAGATTTACTCTATGTTTTTATGAATAGTTTATCAAGATATCGTATCAACTCGGCAATACACAGATTTACTCTATGTTTTTATGAATAGTTTATCAAGATATCGTATCAACTCGGCAATACACAGATTTACTCTATGTTTTTATGAATAGTTTATCAAGATATCGTATCAACTCGGCAATACACAGATTTACTCTATGTTTTTATGAATAGTTTATCAAGATATCGTATCAACTCGGCAATACACAGATTTACTCTATGTTTTTATGAATAGTTTATCAAGATATCATATCAACTCGGCAATACACAGATTTACTCTATGTTTTTATGAATAGTTTATCAAGATATCGTATCAACTCGGCAATACACAGATTTACTCTATGTTTTTATGAATAGTTTATCAAGATATCGTATCAACTCGGCAATACACAGATTTACTCTATGTTTTTATGAATAGTTTATCAAGATATCGTATCAACTCGGCAATACACAGATTTACTCTATGTTTTTATGAATAGTTTATCAAGATATCGTATCAACTCGGCAATACACAGATTTACTCTATGTTTTTATGAATAGTTTATCAAGATATCGTATCAACTCGGCAATACACAGATTTACTCTATGTTTTTATGAATAGTTTATCAAGATATCGTATCAACTCGGCAATACACAGATTTACTCTATGTTTTTATGAATAGTTTATCAAGATATCATATCAACTCGGCAATACACAGTTCTACTCTATGTTTTTATGAATAGTTTATCAAGATATCATATCAACTCGGCAATACACAGATCTACTCTATGTTTTTATGAATAGTTTATCAAGATATCGTATCAACTCGGCAATACACAGATTTACTCTATGTTTTTATGAATAGTTTATCAAGATATCGTATCAACTCGGCAATACACAGATTTACTCTATGTTTTTATGAATAGTTTATCAAGATATCATATCAACTCAGCAATACACAGTTCTACTCTTTTTTTTAATGAATAGTTTATCAAGAATATTTCTTAAATGTTCAAGCTTTATGTACAAAGAATCTGGAGACAATATTGCCTTTCAAATCGATGATCTTTCCCTGAAAAAAATCAACTATTGCCGTTAAATTTGTACACAATCAACTTGAATTTATATTTCTTCAAAAAAATGTTTTCAAATTATACAAAAATAATTTTAAGTGTGAGCATTTCATGTGGTTTCATAATGACTATTTATAATGAAATTTAATTTGAAATTTAACATAAAAATTAATGAGAATGTATGGTTTCAGGATTTCTGGGAGATGTTCACACACCATGTAGCCACCATGCTCCTGCTGTGCTTTTCCTGGTGCGGAAACTTTGTCCGCGTCGGCACCTTGGTATTGGTCATTCATGATGCAGTCGACTTCTGGATGGAGGTATCTAAGCAACAGCCAATCACAGCATTTGTTCAAGTATTACTATGCAAAATGATAAAGTAATGTGGTACATTATTAGCCTTGTGTTATCTAAAACTAAGAATATTGTCCTGAAAGTGGTATTTAATCAGTGTCACATTGACCCAGTGTCAAATACAGCGTTCAGAAAATAAATTCTTATTCTTAGATATTCTTTGTGACAAGACAAAAGAGATTTGCAATACTGTGACACCGCAGAAACCAAACCCCCTTCATCCTAAGTTGGCCACCTTTATTCCCAGTAGATGTTCAGACATTTTAATGCCTTTAATAAAGTCTAGTTTCTAAGACTGGCTGATTACTGGTGCAATTTTGTAATAAATCTGTTCAATTAAACACTCTCTGGATATTGGTCGCTTGATAGGCTGATAAACAGATTAGTGGTGACTGGATACTGGAACAACCAGATTAGTGGTGGCTAGTTAGTGGAACAACCAGATTAGTGGACGCTAGATAGTGGAACAACCAGAATAGTGATGGCTAGATAGTGGGGCAACCAGATTAGTGGTGGCTAGATCCTGGAACAACCAGATTAGTGGTGGCTAGATACTGGAACAACCAGATTAGTGGTGGCTGACTAGAGGGACATCTAGTTTAGTGGGTACAGAAAAGTGGAATATCCAGATTAGTGGTGACTGGATAGTAATACATCCACATTAATGGTGGCTTGATATTGGGACAACCAGATTAGTTGTGGCTGGATAGTGGGACAACCATATAAGTGTTGGCTGGATAGGGGGACAACTGGATAAGTGGTGGCTGGATAGTGGGACAACCAGATAAGTGGTGGCTGGATAGTGGGACAACTTGATAAGTGGTGGCTGGATAGTGGGACAACTGGATAAGTGGTGGCTGGATAGTGGGACAACTAGATAAGTGGTGGCTGGAAAGTGGGACAACTAGATAGTGGATTATTTCCAATCTTCTGTAATGTTATATTTCATTTCACCCAACTTCACGTCATATCTTTGGTCAAAAAACAGAATTGATTCAGATTTTCTTACAATATGACATTAATGTTTTTGGTTTTGTAGGCAGCTAAAATGGCAAAGTACCTGAAGGCTCAGCGTCTGTGTGATGTGCTGTTTGCCATCTTTGGTATAGTTTGGTTTGTCACCAGACTTGTCATATTCCCAGTTAGGTAGGTACTTTAAACTTCGTGCATGGCGACTATATCATAATAACATGGAATGTGAGCTTTGATTCAGTGAGTGAGAATGTGCCATAATTAGTAGATGGTTTAGCATGTAATGTAGATCGCTGCCACCTGATTCAATTGTATGTTCCTCATTATAGGATCATTTCACTGATTAACTATTCAACTGGAAAAAAAAATTCAATCAATATTTAAAGAATCATATAGTAGGTAATATGATTACTACACTTTACGTATATGAATATTAAATATTACCATCTATGTATCATTATGTAAAGTTATAATTCAAATATAATTATTCCTGTGTGTGTGTCATTATTATGAAGTTTGATTATTACTTATATACAATTATTTGTTTAATTATTTATATTTATATTTCTCCTTTAGTGATTATGTATTAAATTTCAGTTATTATGAATTATGATAACATGTATTGATTATGAATTAAATCTTAAACATTTATAAACATACAGATGAAATATTTACCCACCACAAGATACTTAGCTTTAAATGTTAATAAAAGTGCATAGTTTTACCTTCATGGGGTTATATTACAAAAAACTGCAGGAAAGAAAATATTTTAGTAACGTAAGGGAGATAACTGTGGGTAAATATTTCATCTGTGATATCATGGAAGGCACACTGTCATGCTGTAAGTTTGTGTTGAGAGATCTGTCCCTATCCTTCTACTCCTCCGTGTACAGAATTTAATTTATCTACGTTATTAGTCTTCCCTTGACTGAGAATGTCGACTCTATATTTTGTTTCTTAACTTTTGCTACAAAAATTCACTGATGATTATCAATTATCAGTTTAACCATCCTATTTATGACATATGCAAATCAAGTACCATCTTTCTTGTTAAAGACTTCTACAATAAATACCTTATGGTGAGGTAGATCAACCCCGTACAGCATTACCAGGACAGAGAATGGCGCATTGCTGTTCGTAAATAAATCCACAGCCAACTTTACTCCAGTCTCTTAATTCACTCGTTAATTGCTTCAAAGTAATTTAAACTGCTAGAATAGTGCCAGTATTAATTTTAGACCTTACGTTTTGTCATAATTTGGCATGTTCATGTTTTTTAATCAAATAATTTCATTTAAAACCTGGAAGAGATCAAATTTTTGGATAGTCCAATACCGTTAATAATAGCAGCATGTTTTTCTTTTTAAGCATGAAAGATATATCATGACCTTAGAATATAAAAAAAAATGTGTTGGTGTTTTTAAATTTGTTTTTAACTTATCTAGGTACAGGTTCTGAATTAATAATAATAAGAAACTAGTTTCACTGACTGAAAACACCCAAAGTTGGTTTGATACAAGATCACTGAATCAAATTAACAAACATGAAGCTACTGGAACTTTTTGAACATTTACGTTACGTAATAATGTCGTTATTATAAACTTAGTTCTGTCCACTTGATTGTGGGTTAATTAGGACATGTGTTCCTATCCCAACGGACCTGACCTATCCCTGTGTACATCACACTAACACAAATGTTTGCTGTGATATTTATAGCATGTAGATTATCTCCTCTTACATAGAAGCCTAAATCCTTTTCAAACCCTACACTGATCCTGGAATGAAAGTTCAAGCAATTTGTGATCACTTTTGAGGTTAGCTTATGCAATGAGTAAGGCTTACATTCTTGTCATTCGATTTCTTGCTTCATTCAGCCAAACCCAAAATTGAGGAATTGTTTTCATATTTAATGTCAAGAACATCAATCAATCCACAAAGTTAACAAAAATATCTGCAAAAAAAATAAAAGTTTTAGTTGTTTGGTTTAAAGATAAAAAAAAAATATTCATGAAAAAAGGTAATGTCTGCAATAGGTAGCGGTACCATTAAGTGGTATAAAGATTTAGATTGGTAAACTGCATGTTTTTATCCTACTAGAAGATCAATTGGGTTATGACAGTGCACTGTAGCTTAAGTTTACAGTATTTGAAGGACATTATTTCCTTGTATTTGTAGATGTTTATGGTGGTTATGTAGAGGCTTTAGTTTGGCTATGTTAGTGCACAGAATATAAACTCCACGAATTATTAACGTCCTGTTAAGAGTCGGTATAGACTAGTATTGAATTGAATATAATTGACAGCCCCCTCTAGAACTCATTAGGATTTCTATCATGTATATTTGCCCCATTAGGAGTTGTATCATGTATATTTGCCCCATAAGGATTAGTATCATGTATGCTAATTGCCCCACTAGGAGTTGGATCATGTACGATATTTTCCCACTAGGAGTTGGATCATGTATGATATTTGCCCTCTAGGAGTTGGATCATGTATGATATTTGCCCCACTAGGAGTTGGATCATGTATGCTAATTGCCCCACTAGGAGTTGGATCATGTACGATATTTTCCCACTAGGAGTTGGATCATGTATGATATTTGCCCTCTAGGAGTTGGATCATGTATGATATTTGCCCCACTAGGAGTTGGATCATGTATGATATTTTCTGACTAAGAGTTGGATTATGTATGATAATTGCCCCACTAGGAGTTGGATCATGTATGATATTTGCCCCACTAGGAGTTGGATCATGTATGATATTTTTTCCCCACTAGGAATTGGAACATGTATGATCTTTGCCCCACTAGGAGTTGGATCATGTATGATATTTTCTGACTAAGAGTTGGATTATGTATGATAATTGCCCCACTAGGAGTTGGATCATGTATGATATTTGTCCCACTAGGAGTTTGATCATGTATGATATTTGCCCCACTAGGAGTTGTATCATGTATGATATTTGCCCCACTAGGAGTTGTATCATGTATGATATTTGCCCCACTAGGAGTTGTATCATGTATGATATTTGCCCACTAGGAGTTGGATCATGTATGATATTTTTTCCCCACTAGGAATTGGAACATGTATGATCTTTGCCCCACTAGGAGTTGGATCATGTATGATATTTTTTCCCCACTAGGAATTGGAACATGTATGATCTTTGCCCCACTAGGAGTTGGATCATGTATGATATTTTTTCCCCACTAGGAATTGGAACATGTATGATATTTGCCCCATTAGGAGTTGGATCATGTATGATATTTCCCCACTAGGAGTTGGAACATGTATGATATTTGCCCCATTAGAAGTTGGATCATGTATGATATTTGCCCCACTAGGAGTTGGATCATGTATGGTATTTGCCCACTAGGAGTTGGATCATGTATGATATTATTTCCCCACTAGGAGTTGGATCATGTATGATATTTGTCCCACTAGGAGTTTGATCATGTATGATATTTGCCCCACTAGGAGTTGTATCATGTATGATATTTGCCCACTAGGAGTTGGATCATGTATGATATTTCCCCACTAGGAGTTGGATCATGCATGATAATTGCCCCACTAGGAGTTGGATCATGTATGATATTTGCCCCACTAGGAGTTGTATCATGTATGATATTTGCCCCACTAGGAGTTGTATCATGTATGATATTTGCCCCACTAGGAGTTGTATCATGTATGATATTTGCCCACTAGGAGTTGTATCACATATGATATTTGCCTTATAGGAGTTGTATCCTGTATGATATTTGCCCACTAGGAGTTGTATCCTGTATATTTGTCAGGCTATTACAGTTAGATCATGTTATGTGACATCTAACATAACCCCTGCCTGGAGATTTCATCATTTTGAGTGACATTTAAATACTGCAGTTAGATATTTCTTTAGTGACATTTTCTTATGATACTGACAGTTATTTTTGTTTAAGTGACAATTCACCGCAGTGGCGTTTAATCATATAATCACTTGCTTACTGCAATAAAATCATATATATATACACTTTTGTTGAAGATGAAATATGCATATATGTGTGTTGATACAAAAGTCTGCACTCTACCTTGAGTCCTTTTTAGTGTCTGTTAGTCCTTAGCATGCAGATTGTGTACATTATCACACATTGGGCTCTCTTTGTGTAACTCTTGTTCAATGTACAGATCTTAGACTCCACGTATTTCGTAGCATTGATCTGTATAGTAGTACTGCATTGTAAGAGAAAGAAGCTTTTTCATGCATTTATATATAAATACATATAAATTTCATGCATTTGTATATAATTAAACATAGATTTAATGCATTTATATATAAATACATATAAATTTCATGCATTTGTATATAATTAAACATAGATTTAAAGCATTTATATATAATTCTGTATATACTTATGCATTTATATATATCTTATATATAGCGCATTCACTGGGGGACTATTATTATGCGCAATATTTGCATTCATTCATTAGGCTATGAATGCAATAATGAATACATTCATAAGGCTTCGAATACAATAATAAATGCATTCATTAGGCTGTGAATGCAATAATAAATGCGTTTGAACCACAATTGATTTGGACTGATTGATATTACACTGGATTTCTTTAGAGATGCCAGCTATATAGTGACAATGTTTTATCACATATATCCACCACGTTTGATGTTTGATCATGATCAACTCTGTCTGCCTGTGTTAACATTATATAGCATCATCGTATCATTGTCTGTGTATGTGCTTTAGTGGTGTAGAATGAGCTATTGTGCTTGAGTGTTTGTTATCCTCGCTTTACTACTTACCCCATTTATATACACTAACTCGGCCTGTAGTAGCATGTGAGATGTGTGTGTTGTAACAAAGCTGGGGCAAAGCTACCCTGCATGTCATGGACGTCCCTACCAATAGTCAGATTAGAAATACATTTTTTTTAATTGATCAGAAAGCAAAGAAATTAATGTGTTTCATGCTTTTACATTGATAAGGAATATAAAAACTGAAATTGATTCCAAGTCAGAAATAAGACTGTTCAATCCCAACCATTGTGTTGCGTATTTTGCATATTTCCCTAGATTTGTGTTGTGTAGTGTGTATGAATACATTTGTATAGATAAAGACAGTCGTCTTAAAGAGCTCATTATCACAGTAGTAAGCACTTCATAAAGGTATTGTCAAGTAATAAC